CTAGCAATGAGGATCTCATGGTCGATGGTGTCAAAGGCGGCTGTGAGGTCCAACAGGACAAGCAACACAGAATCACAAGTATAAGTGGTTAAGTACTACGTCAGTGGATAAACTACTGTTTACTATAGCCAGAATGGACGGACCTAGAGAAGGAAAAACCTCCTTTAGTAGTCGAGGGGGGACCACATCAAAGGGGGAACCAGATGGTTTCAAGCTGCACATGACCTGCTCTAGAGTAGATAGAGTGATAGGTTCAAAATAGTCAAAAGGAGCTACAGATTGAGGTGGGATGGATGGGTCATGAGTTGGAGGGGAAATGAGAGCCCGGGTGGTCGCAATTTTTTCCAAAAAGAAATGTAGGAAGTTGTCGCACAGCTCAATCGAGGCTTCCAGAGGTGATGGTTCAGTGAGGTGGAGAACAGGGTTTAGGGTGGAGAAGAGGACACGTGGGTTGCGAGAGTTTGAGGTAATTATATCAGAGAAGTATTTGGATTTAGCAGCTTTCACTGCTTTCTGATAACGGCGCCAACTCTCTTTAAGTATTTGAAGAGACCTGCAGCCTGTCTTTCCTCCATTTGCGCTCCGCCCTCCTACATTGCTGCCTAACAGCCTTGGTGACGTCACTCAGCCAAGGTTCTGCACTGAGTTTTGATTTTTTGGTTTTAACAGGAGCGACATGATCCAGATTCTTTAAGCAGACAGAGTTGAACTGGGATGTCAGCTCCTCAGTGGTGGTGAGAAACACCAGGGGCTGAATGATCATTTCAGAGTTATAAGCATCTGTGAAACATGTAGCAGTGAAGTGGTTAATGGTCTGGCTACTATGTGCAGGAATGCACGGCTTAGGAGTTAGATGGGGGAGGGTGAACTCGAACTGGACTGGCATGTGATCTGAAAAAACTTTATCACCAATAACAAGATTACTAACAGTCACATCCCGTGTTAAAACAAGGTCCAGTGTATGTCCACGCTCTTGGGTGGGACCGTTTACATGCTGAGTTAGATTAAATGAGTCCAATAAATCTAAAAAGTCCTTAACCAAGGGCTTTTCAGGACAGCACACGTGCAAATTAAGGTCCCCAATAATGAAAACATGATTATATTTTGGTGTGATTTCAGCCAAGAAATCAGAAAACTCATTTATGAAATCCTTAGATCGAGGTGGGCGGTAGACGAGCGCAAAAAACGTCAGAGGAGAGTGGCCGAGTTCAAAGACGCTCAGCTCAAAGCTGGCGTGGGAAACTGGGATGGACAGTTGTTTACAGTCAAAAGTTGGTTTGGATATTGTTAATAATCGACCACTGCGCCGGCCTGATGGCCGCGGTGCGTTAAAATACAGACAGTTCGATGGCAATGATTCCGTCAAGGTGCTAGACTCACCCGGAGACATCCAAGTCTCTGTGATGCAGAAAAAGTCCAACTCGTGCTCTTGAAAGTAGTCCCTGAGGATAAAAGTTTTGTTGGTAACAGATCTTGCGTTGACCAAACACATCCGGATACTGTCCAAAGGGGAACCAGCAGCGGTGGAGTTCACGTGCATCAGTGGCCTCGGGTTTTCATTGACAGCCCCTCCGGGTCGGTCCACGTGTCACACCGGCTGACAACTCCCGTTGTTTACCTGTTCCGGGCACGCGGGAAGCTGGCGATGGAAACCATGACCACCAGCTGAAGAGGAAGATGCATTGCGCAGGGCTTTAAGCTTTACCAGCCGCCCAGCACGTTTTCCCCGGCGTCTGTAGCGATATCTCCAGACAGGGAGGTGAGGAGCCCAGCGGAGGTAAGCTAGCACGTCCGCCAGAGGGGGGGGGGGGGGGGGGGTCCAGCGGTACGCTCATATTGTTCCAAATAAGCAACATCGGTGACAGAAAAACGAAGATCCAGAAGCTGTTGTCGGTTATACACCAGCAGCGAGTTTATATCACTGATAAAAAACGAACAAAACTAAAATAATCCAAACACCATCAGCAGAGGTGGATTGCAAGCCATGTACACGGGCGCCATCTTACCGAAAGTCATAAAATATGCCATAGAATTTATAAAACAGTGTCAAAGCAAAGCTCTGCATACCGATAGATTGTTACAGAAGCGTTAAACTGTCGTTTAGTGTCTCAGTGATAAGCCTAATGGTATGTCATGTATCATTGGGCACTTTTAAATGGGTATATTGAAATTCTTAAACTTTTCTAGTGGGTATACGCCGTATACCCGAGTATCATGTAGACTACACCACTGGAGTACACCCTTCTGTCGTCACAGCCCTGTTTGGAGCTTAACACCTCAGACCTTAAACTACATTCAACTATATCAAAGCTGAATTGTTAAAAAAAAGTATATATGAAGTAGCTTAGTGTGTGTTTTGTATTAGAATTAGAATAATTAGAAAGAGTTATTCATTTTGTTCTGTTACTTGAAAATTATTATGATTGAAATAATTGTTTGAAAAAAGGGGCAGATATAATAAGATTTTTTCTTCTTTCTGCTGCCTTTCATTTGAAATCTTTTGTATCTTTTTTATATTGTTATGGAATTGTTTTGTACTTTTTTAAAATGAATAAACTTTATACCATACCATACCATACATTCGGGTCACAGAAATTTGGACTTTACTTGAATGAACTGCTGTTGTGATGTTATTCTGTTTTGATGTTATTCATGTATTTTGTTCAGTCACAGTTTAAACTGGATTTGTGAAGACTTTATTACAGAATGTTTAGTTTAGAGTCTGAACTTGAGGTGTAGGGCTAGATTATAATGTCACAATAATATTTACTGAGTTGAAAACTTTCATGAATTTGGGCAAAATTATCACTGAGGATTTCTCACTCACTTCTGGTCTGATTTATAGTCAACAACAAGCCCCATTCTTATGTCTCGCTGACGTGGGTGCATGATAAAAAGCATGTATGTTTCTACTTTTACCACCTGATGACAGCCCATCTTGTGCATTGCCCCCAGTCAGAAGTGGCCTCTTACAGGGTATGAGGTGAGCATTGTGTGTTTGGTCAGAACTTCACGAGTGTGTTGATGTAAAGTGATTGCAATCAGCTGATCTCCAAGTTCAGTGTCCAGCCAACTTCCCCCGCACTTTCTCTACAGAGAATAGTCCATGAGGAAAAAGACCATCTCAAAACACATCAGCAAGATCCAACGTCTTACATGTTGTTGAAGTATAACAAGGCCTTTAATCATTGGTGTGGCAGCATTTCAAACCAGTCAGGCACGTGGACCATGCTGTTATTGTCAGGCAGGCTGTGTTATGGAAGCAGCTTGTTATAATATCTATACAATATTTGATTAATAGTCAAAAAAGTCAAAGTATACAAAAGTTTTTTTCGTGCACCAAAAAAAGGCTTTGTTCACATGAATATCCACAAATCATCCGAAAGTCTGATGCAACCAGCTAAAGCGTGTGATGATCCCCCTTTCATGATTGATAAAGAAAAAAAAAGATTTAGAGAAAAGTTCATGGGCAGCACAGTGGTGCAACTGGTAGAGCTGCTGCCTCTCAGCGAGCAGGTCCTTGGTTCAAACCCCGGTCTGGGGGCCTTTCTGGGTGGAATTTGCATGTTCTCTCCGTGCATGCGTGGGTTTTCTCCGGGTGCTCCGGTTTCCTCCCACAGACCAAAAACATGCATGTTAGGCTGATTGGTAACTCTAAATTGTCCCTAGGTGTGAGTGAGAGAGTGAATGGTTGTTTGTCTCGTTTGTCTCTATGTGTCCCTGTGATGGACTTGCGACCCGTCCAGGGTGTACCCGCCCCTCGCACAGTGATTGCTGGACATGGGCACCGGCGACCCCCGTGACCCAAAATGGAATAAACGGGTAAAGATAATGGATGGATGGATGGATGGATGAAAAGTTCATTACATATTTCTGTGTGAATATTTTGATTTAAGAACTGAGAAAAACATGACAAATCTGAAACCATACAATTTTTTTTTTTCTTTAAAATGTTAAAATGATTGGCTGCAGTGGCTCAGTGATCAGTGCTGCTGTCTGGTAATCCTGAGGCTGCAGGTTCAAGCCCAGGTTGTGTCAGTAAGGACATCTAGTGTAAAACAATTGACTAATTTTTTATTTGGGTTCACTCATGAGTGCAATCCCTGAAGAGAGGGCCAGCCAATAGTAAAACAATAAGAACTGTGAAATCTCATCTTGACTCTTTTTTTGTGGCTCCAGCATCATCACTGCCCGGGACATGATGTTGTGTGACACCACTATTATCCACTTTCCAGAGATTTTTCAAACTAGCTCTTTTATTCCCACAATCTTTTCTGTTTCCAAAACAGTTTCTCCACCAGTCCTGCAGTATATTTTTTTTCATCCAGTGTATTTCTCTGCTGACTGACGGTGTTCTCTCAAATGCCCCCAAAGGTCACACCCAAACTCTCATTGACTTCCATTGATCCTGAGCCAAAAAGATTCTTCTTCAAAACAGGAAGATAAAGCTCTTTTTTACCTTGTCATACCTCTGACTTAAAGCTTTGTCAAAACATTAAAATGGACATGTGTGTAGACCGCAAGCTTCTGACACTTCCAGGTCAGAATTGTTTTCATGCAGGTTTCTTTGTGGTTATTTTGTAAGCTTTTCGTCTTATTAAGAGTATTAACAGGTAAAGACAGACACAGGTCTATGGTTACCATAGTGATTGCAATGAGCCACTGGCTGCAGCTGCAACTTTTTAATCTCAGTTCTCTTTACTCTCCTACAATTTTTACATCCAATTGTCAGAATATTATTATCTTAGATGATGGATGTTCGAGCTTCAGACAAGAACTGCACTAGTGTCCTTCAACATTTCTTCAGAAGTTTTCTAGTTTCAGTACAGTCAGTGGTAAAAGTGTAAACTCAACACAGGTGGATGCATCCATGTAAATGGACAAATTCATGCTTTCATTTGCATTTTCTATCAAGTTTCTTCTGTTCTGGGGTTGAATGTTGCATGTTATAAACTTCTACATTGTTTTAAAGGAACAATGGGAAACATCAGTGATTTTACCTCAGAAAGTCAGGAGCTTTGGAGATCATGTTTTCAAAGTCAGCAAAGGAGAGTTTGCTGTCTCCATCCAGATCAGCCTCCTCGATAGCTTTATCGCACACCAGAGTGACCTCCTCTGCTGTCAGCTCCCCTTTGGTGAGCTTGTTCAGGGTCTTTTGCAGGTCCTCCTTACAGATGAAGTTGTCCCGATTAAAGTCTGGACCAGAACCACACACAGAAACAGCTGCTGACAGCCTTTAGGTCTTCATCTATCTAACAGGCTGAAACATTTACCATTTTATAAAACTGAAGCTTGAATAGCTTCAGTGTTACTATGCACATACATGTAGTAAGGATAGCATGGCAGAAATTGATGGTGCTGAGGGAGCCAAGTGCATCAGTGTGCTGGAGTTGAGTAAACTTTAGGACTGACAGGAGCACTGATTATTACATTTATGAATAAATAAATGTTGCTTTTAAAAACATTTGTTTTACAAATCTTAAAGACACAGAACAGGTCCTTGTTTGGCTAGCCATTAGCGTAGCCTGAAGAAAGTCTTCTGCCCTTTTCATCATACTTGGTGTTCTTTGACAGATGTCACAACTGATTAAGTACTAACTATGGGTAGCTATTGAACAAAACATCACTTCAAACATGACTGGACTGGGTTACCTGTTAGGATTAACAAATACACCAGAGGATCATCTGTATAGCAGTGAAATGAGAAAGCATACAGGTACAAGTAGATAACCAGGTCCAAGAACAGGATGGACCTTGTAAAAAAGAAAGAATTCTAGCAAGGAGCCCTGGGGCACACCAAAGGTGAGGTAATCTGGATATTTGTTCTCCAGTGAGATTTAGTTCAGACTAAAACTAAGTTCAACAGGTTTGGATAAAGGAGGTTGTTTTTGAGAATAAAACAAGTTGTATCACTCTTTACATATAAATTTCTGATCAATGTCAATTTTCAATACTTCATTATATAATTGTAAACATTTTGTTGAAGAAAAACTCTACTATTATCATTTATGAACCCAAACAATTTGCCATATAGGTGTCAATATCTTACCGTAGATTTTGAAGGCATAGACAGTTTTGAGCTCTATAGGTGAAGTTTCACAGAGGGCAGAAAACATGTCGACAAAATCGTTGAAGCTCATGTTCCCCTGTCCATCCTCAGAGAACGTCTCTACAATTCTGTCTCTGAATGGATTCTCCTGTCACCACAGACACACAGCAAGAGATGAACAGGCGTACAAAATTTAGTAACTGGTTGAGCAGTGAGTGCAGCACATTTGTCATAGTCTGCCTCCTGTAAAAAGAGTACCTTCAGTTCAGGCATGGTGATGATGAGAGACAAGGGGACTTTGATGTTGGGGTTGTTTGTGTAGTCCAGGGGCACTAAATGTGGAGCCAGCTCTCGGTATCTTCCATGCAGACTGCAGACAGCAGGGTACATACAGACTGTTAGATCCACATCTGCAGCGTCAAGGGGGCATTGAAGAGGCTCACCACACTCCAGCCAGACTCATACAACTATAGATGCATAGCATTTTGTGGAGGAATGCATATTGCCCGTCATCTTTCATGCCAGAATTTAAGACTAAACCCATCTACTATTGACAAGAATTACAGAAATGTAGCCATTTTGGTCAAACCTTAAAAATAGAGTTATGCACAACCTCGTGTAATATTGTAAGATGTCACGCTCAAACCATAATTTAGCACCATATCTGTAAAGTTGACTGACTGAGAGCCATTCTTGTGTTGTAAAATGTTGATTAGCTGTTGGAAAAAGTCATTTCAATGACAACTGACTACCAACAACAGCAGTCAGCAAGAGGGTGTTAATCCAGAGATCAGCTCATCACATCCCAGACTGTCTGTAATGACTGAATACCCACAATCCTTCACTCAGTCCCATGAATCCCACAAGCCTGGTACAAGCGAAAGAACCTTCAGATCTGAAAACGCATGCTGACCAAATCTGAGCCAGAACTGGGCTTTGACCAAGCAGCTTCATCACGAAGAGGAAGAAACAGGAATGAAAAATGTGCCTGCAGTCATCAAGTCTTAAACACACACCCCCACATATGTGTATGTATATATATATATATATATATATATATATATATATAGATACATGTAGGGATAGTGCCATCTTGTGGGCCTTCCCTTGTCTGTGTACCCTTGTGTCTCATTATTCCTGATTATTTGCACCTTCTGTTCTCAGCTGTTTGCAATCACGTCCTGTCTTGTCTGTGTATTTAAGCCCGTCTGTAAGTCTTGTCCTTTGTTGCGTCATCGTTGGGTCTACCCTGTTCTGTCGTGTTCCAGTTGTATCTCCAGAGTGTGAGTTGCTGCCATGTCAGCCATTTTGATTTATATTTATTAAATATCTATATTTTTGTATCTCCTGGCTCCAGAGTCTTGTTTCCAATTGGGTCCGCTCCTGCCTGCCAAAATCCTGACAGTATGACGCGACCAACAAAGAACCCAGCAGACAAGTATTTTTTGTCAAGATTGTCTGATGAAGACTTTAAACAGCTCTGCGACACAAGTTGGAGGTTTGTGGACACGGCCACCTCCTGCAATCTGTGGGAGAGGTGGGTGGCCACAAAATCCATGTTGGATGAGTACATCCACTTGCCTGGACTAATTGATGCCCTCGGTATGGAGGATTTCTTGGACGAGGTACTGGAGGAAAAGCGTTGGTTGGAACTGCTCGTTAGACCATACGCTGCCAGTCCTGGTCCTCCACCCACACATCACTCTGTTTTTCAACCAGTCCTGGACTCTCTGTTCATGACACCTGGAATCCTCGCAGCTGCAGCCCTTGCAGTCGCTCCCATGCCTACTGCAGTCTCTGTAGTTCCAGCTCCTGCAGTCTCTGCATTAACTACGCAGTATGAGGATCCAGCCCGTTCCGATACCACAGACTCGGACCCACCAACAACATTCGCACCACCGGCATACTCAGCTCCTCTCTCTGGGCCCGATCCTGAACCTGAACCACGCCGCCGCCCACGTCGGAGAGGTCGACGACAGAAGGGTTCCAGAGACTCTGTCCCTGTTCCTGAGCCCACAGCCAGCCCTGAGCCCGCAGCCAGCCCTGAGCCTGCAATCATCAAAGAAACTGCTGTAGGACCCACGCTGCCTCCAGAGGGTCCTGCACCATCCATGTCTGCTCCTGTTTCTGCCGCTGAAGATCCTGCCGCTGAAGATCCTGCCGCTGAAGATCTTGCTGTTGAAGATCTGGCCGCAGAAGATCTCGCCCCAGATGGTCCAGCCGCAGAAGACCCTATCCCGCTGACCCTTCCATCCACGTCTGTTCCTGGTCCAGCCGCAGAAGACCCTGCTCCCGCTGACCCCCCAAAACCATGTCTATTCCTGGTCTGGCCGCCGAAGACCCTGCTGACCTGCCTGCTGAGCTCCTCGCCTCTGACCCGCCCCCTGAGCTCCTCGCCTCTGACCCGCCCGCTGAGCTCCTCGCCGCCGACCCGCCCACCCGTCCTGTTCCTGCCCGAAGAATGGCCCATAGGATGATCTCTCAGCCGCCCCCCTGACTGACCCCGGCCTGATGGACAGCCTCCCGGCCACCCGCCCAACTTGTTCTTGCATGATGGTCGGCCTCCCAGCCGCCCGCCCGATCTGTTCTGGCCTGATGGCCTCCTGGCCACCTGCCTGACCTGTTCCGGCCTGATGGACAGCCTCCCAGCCGCCTGCCTGAACAATGGTAAATGGTAAATGGACTGTATTTATATAGCGCCTTTCTTTCTTATTTCAAGACACTCAAAGTGCTTTACACTACAATCTGTGTCCTCATTTACCCATTCATACAGCACTCTACTAGATCTCTACAAAGCTAATTGAACAAATCATTCTAAAGAGACTAATCAGAGATTTATCACATTCATACACTGATGGGACACACATCGGAGGCAACAAGGGGTTCAGTGTCTTGCCCAGGGACACTTTGGCATGTGACTGCTGTGGGGTTCGAACTCCCAACTCTTGCATTGGAGGACGACTGCTCAAAACACTCAGCCACAATGACCGCCCAGACTTTTGTTGTGTCCCTGTTTGTGTTTAGATTTGTTCCCAGGATTTGTTTTTTGTCATGTTTTGTCTTGGGCCCTCCATCCTTGCAATTCCTCCCTCCTCCTGCCCAAGTATTTTGGGGAGCGTTTTTGGGGACACCGGGGGGACGTCCTTGAGGGGGGGGATACTGTAGGGATGGTGCCATTTTGTGGGCCTTCCCTTGTCTGTGCACCCTTGTGTCTCATTATTCTTGATTAATTCCACCTCCTGTTCTCAGCTGTTATCACGTCTTGTCATGTCCTGTCACACTGTAGATGTATTTCTTATTCAACTTTGGTGCTTTGTTTTTTAGTAGTATTTCTTTTAATGTTTTTAGTATGTTAGTAGTATTTTTAGTATGTTTTGCTGCATGCTTTGATTTTTAAATTGTTTTTGTGGTGAGTCGACACGGTTCTTCTCATCCTAAGCATTTTGTTGCATTGTTGACCTTGTGTTGATTTTGCACATGACAAATAAAACCTAACCTAACCATAAATAAATTAGACTTGACCTAAACTGGCTCATAATTGTGTGAATATTGATTCAGCACTGTCTTGGTGATGCAAGCTAACGTTTGTTTTCAACAAATTTCAGCTTCCATTCAGCTTTCAGCATCTCCTGTTACATTTCTGTGGATGTTTTAATGTGTGAACTTTGTTTGATTTACTAATTTAACAATAAAATAGGAATACATTTTAGGACAGGTTACAGTCCTAACCTCTTCTTCTTCATCTTAATTTTAAACTCTATAAAGATAAAAAGGTGCTATGCAATTACAGTCCATTTAAACATACATTAAAAACATTAATAAAATAAGTGTCATTTTCAAAATAAAGGAGATATTTTGTTTTGCATGTAATCATTAAATCATGATAGCAGCCTAGCATGCCTTGAAGTTTTTGTTCAAGCTTAAAAGAAAATCTTGTGCACAATCTCACTTGAGATTGACAAATTTTATACAATCTGTTAGCTCTTGGAGTTCTTGTTGGGGTTAACTCACCAAATTTAAGACCATTGTTTGTAAAACAACCCTTTCTGTGTTGGTTCAGGCTGATTATCTGTAGCACTACAGAATGGGACTGACTCCTAAAGTCACTGGTCAAGGTTGTGTTTTGAGTGAATACTTTGTCAGTTTAAGTAAAATCCCTCTAGTGGTTTCTGAGAAATTTTGCTAACAGACAGACTAATAAAAACACTCAGACCTGGCAAAAATAAACATTATTGCCCATTCAGTGGGCGATAACAAATGTGCTGAACAGAATTCTGAATGTGACGATGTTTCTGCCACACAAGATATATAAAAAAAATTAAAAAATTAAAAACATGCAGTTCCTCCTCTGCCTCACTGATGAAGATGTGAACTCACCTCAGGATTTCCTTCCGAGTGAAAAAAGTACAGTCCTGTAAATAAACAAAAAACAACCAGGTAAACAGGGTGAGTTCTGTGGGGAAATGTGATTTCACAGCATCTGTCAGTCATCAGCATCAGGAAGCAGATGGAGGCTGGAGATCAGCCAATCACGAGCCTCTGTCCTCCCTGTTCTGACTCCTCCGACATTCTCTCTGACCTCTGATTCATGCTCCCGTGATCCTTAAAAAAAGTAACATGCTGCTTCCTTGAGAGCCTCCACAGACTGATAACACCTGTCACCTGATACGCCTCCAGCTGCTCCTCAGTGAAGGTCGTCTGCTTGTTGCCCATCGTGTCCGGTGAATCCTCCCATCACACAGCTGCATCACACTAGAAGACGCCACCGCCACTGTCAAGCCACTTCACATGCAGGATCAGGTCTATGAGTTCACTTCACGTCCAGGATCAGGTCTCTGAAGACATTGCACATCCAGGATCAGGTCTCACACAGACCAGATGCTGACGTTCCGCATCCAGCTCTGAAGCTGAGGCTGCTGGAGGCAGCGAGGAGGAAAATCTGCTTCTCATAGGTGGAGGAGGGGGCTGATGCATTCAAGTCCTGCTCAGAAAAATGTGTTTTTCACAGGCGTATGACCAGGTTGATGCATTTAGGTATCGCTTAGAATATCTGCTTTTCACATGAGAAGGCTGATGTGTTCAAGTTTTGCTCCAAAATAAAGATAGATAGATAGATAGATAGATAGATAGATAGATAGATAGATAGATAGATAGATAGATAGATAGATAGATAGATAGAT